GCCACGTCACACTAGCAACAGCGCAAGGCTATATAAGCGGACCCACAGCAGTGTGATGAGGAGTTGAAACATAGCAGCCTGCGAGTGTGCGATAACTAAGAAGTCAGCGAGCGGAAGACTTATTGTGTGCTTTCCAGACATAGTGATTGCTGTAGTACAGTTATATCTGGAGTGTGTATTTCAGGGAGACTTGTATAGCTCCCGCGTTATCAGTACGTGAAGACAAGTGAAGATTGTGTTACGAGATTTTGTTGTAGGGTTTGTAAAGTGTGGAAACCCGTAATATTGTGATCAGTAATTGTAGCCGTTATTTGTAGATTGTTAAATAAACCAATTAACCATCTCTACGGCGTCTTCTGTAACGAAACACGTTACAATATATATATCTTTCTAATGTGTTCAGTTTGGGTCCCTTCTTTTATATATAATACGTTCATGGTCTGGTCCATGTGTTGTGTTTAATAAAATATAAATGCTATCAGGACTAATATACAAAATTCTAAATTCGCACAAAACACTTTGGAAACTGGACATACATTTGACACAATGGAACAAACCATGAAAATATTACATACAGAAAAGAAGGGACCCAAACTCAAAACAATAGAAATATACTGTCACATATTCATAGGGAAATTGCAAAAATCCCTGCACAACAGCTTTAAGGGTTAATCACAACATCTTCTACTGGTGCAAGGAATGTTTACATGTAAGGTGACAGCATTTTCAACACATTTTGTGACCTATGAATTCTGTACTTCATTCCAAGCATTACTGGCCACAGGCATACTGATTCACTGGTAAAATTTATATGCACCTTGCAGCCAGTGTTGCATCAGTCGCTGTGAAACGCAGAGCTGTGAACCAGACGAGAAAAGTAAGAACCTCCATCTATATTTATATACAGAAATTTTTCTTTTATGTTCATTAATAGCTTTATTTGTGTGTTTAATTACATCCATTGTATATTCCACTCGACCACAACTGCATCTATATTTTCGGATGTGTTGCCAATGCCAATTCTTCACCATTGCTTTTAAACCTTTTACACATTCTCTGTATCTAATGTTGAGTCACCTTTCTATCAAACAGAAATTAACAAAAAAATCTGTCATGACAACCAATCACCTGACAGCAGGTACAGAGGCAACAGGCAACATGTGTCAATAATCTGTCCCACAATGTTGCAAATGTTTTGAGAATCATTAGGTATCCTATAACAAATCCTCAATATAATGGGACCTCTATGCAATTACACTGATACAAACTGCATCAAAGATAGAAAACAAATGATAAAACTTCAGCATTTATAGATCCTGGGAACCCTATGATATAGTGCCAAAGCACTGTTTAGTGGACTGGACAGACAAGGAAAATGTGAAGGATTTTTCTCATATAGAATTTACCAAAATATTCAGTTTACACAGCATTTCATTCCATCCATATTAGATCTGCCTAAAAGAAAATGAGACTGGTACATCACAAGCAACATTCAAGAAACTACAGTTGCCTAGAAACATTTCAGAGAAAAGAAACCTTCAGAATCTGGTCAACAGCGCAGTAGAGCTGTTTCACATGCACAGACAGAGATGGAGACGAAAAAGACAAGCACATTTGTGTTACCTGCCTAACAGTGCACATACAGCTCACCTCAGGTTCAGCCTTTAGTTCTGGAAATGTTATTGCAACAGGATCCTCTTCCTCTTCTGCATCTGAAACTTCCTTAATTTTTACATTCATGGCCTGGTTTGCATCTTGAGGTGTTGGGTATGTCTCACCATATAGACCCACTAAAACGTTCTCCGGACTTGTACAGTCCTGTAAGAACCATCACATCCTTCTCAAAAATGGATGCACAACACCAAACATTAAACAGCACATGCTCTCTTTCCTATGGCTGCATCTCATTGCATCTAGCTCACAACAGCTGTTTTGTATACTTGTACATTTCCTTCTCTACAGCTATCAAGATCATTAGAAAGTATCTGGTTCATAGCTCAGTACTCTTCCCAAAAAATTAACAATCACTGCAGCAACACTGAAAATATCTGCTTCCTTCTTTCCATTCTTGTTGCAAGAGAATGCAGAATCCTCTGTAACCTACACAACTGTTCATCATATGATAAATATTTTGTGGAGTTCATTGTAATTAGCTAGCAATTTAAATTCTTGCTTCTAATAAGAGTACCAGTAACTAAATGCGAACAGTATCGTGACTCCATAAGGATTTTTGCTGCTACAGGATTTCTCTGAAAAACAGTTCAGTTTACACAAAGTTTAATTTCATCTACATCAGAACTCCTTAAAAGGAAAGCAACATTCATTCAACAAAATACAACTGTCTAGAGACACTTCAGAAAAAGGCCTTCAATGGCCAGTCAGCAGCACAGTGGAGTTGTTTCATGTGCACAGACAGCCAGGGAGATGAGATGAGATGGGATGAGAAAGACACTTGACATTTCTGCATATTTGTTATATCTGCCCAACAGGGGACTTACAGAAACATACAGCTCACCTCAGGTTCAGCCTTTATCTCTTGAATTGTTATTTGCACAGGATCCGCTTCCTCTCGTGAGTCTGAGACTTCCTCAACTTTTATATCCATGGACTGGTTTGCATCATGACTTGCTGGGTATATCTCACCATATGGACCCATTAAAACCTTCTCTGAATTTGTACAGTTCTGTAAAAGCATCATATCTTCTATCAGTCACGGATGTACAACACCATACATCAAACAATCTACCTTCTTTTTGCTGTAGCTGTTTTTCATTACATCTACCCCATAAAAGCTGTTCTCTATGGATTTCTTCTCTAGACTTCATAATGTTCGAAAGTGTTAAGTTCATAATGCAGGGATCTTCCTCAGAAACTAGTGGTCCCTGTGGCAGCATAGAAATTATCTGCTCTTTATGTTACCTAAGCGCTTATTACTGTGTTCCCACATGCCCATCAAGACTTTTTCATTCCGATACAAACAAACCCAGTACAAACCCACCCCAAAACTATATCTCTAAAATCCTTCTGCACAAACATCTCCCAAGTGGTCTCATTCTTTCAGGTTTTATATCCTAACCTTTGTATTACATTTCTGAAGCTCACATGTGTGCTACATGACCTACCCACATCACTCTCCTTGAATTGCTCCCTCTCCTACATAATGTACCAAATTGTTATAATATTGAGAACCATGTAATCTCCCCAGATGGATTATGAAAACTAACACAAGATCGGTAAAAAAATGTTCAGTTTTTAGGCTATGAGAATTGGCAGATAATAAAATTCTACTGCGCAAACAAGCACAAAGCATGACTGACGGTGTGTGGTTTCTTAAAGGTGAATTAGAAGTGCAGTAAATACTTTGTTTTCTCCCATATTTATTTAGTTAGTGTGCACATTACGGCACAATTTTTAATATTGTGTGTGAATAAGTGATAAGACTGATAATAACGATTCTTCGTTGGGATTATGGCAGCAACAGGCAATAACATTCTAGTGGATAATAAGTGTGGTAAATGTAATGAAGTAGTTAGAAATGGAATATTATGTGATAACTGCGATAAATGGTATCATTTTAATAATGTAGTACTGTGAGTGAAGACAAAATACCTGATACCCAATGACGATGTGTTTAATGTTCAAGTGGAACAACCTGGTAAATGAGAAAGAGACTGGGGATTTCGACAACAGCAAAATCATTAGTAAGCTGATAGAAGAAATATCCTCCTTGCAGGAAATTATATCTGTCCTGCAGAGAGAGAGAATTCAACATATGCATCTCCTGGTACACCATGAAGATGATAATAACTGGTGCCAAGTAGCAAGAGCAAAGTCAAGAAAAAGTAAAAAAGTGGCTCAGCATTCTTTAGTTTTAACGTGTGACAGATTTAACACACTAAATGAAGTTGGTGATGAGATTGAAGAGAGGAAAGAATCAAGTCGCCCAAAGGTGAATGTAAAAAAGAAAAATAAACTAATATTCTATATTGATGGTTATGGCCAAGATATACCTACGTCACTCAGTAAAACTAATGTGGATATCTCAGTGTATGGTGAAGTTAGGCCTGGTGCTAAGGTGAAAGATGTACTAAAACACTGTGTAAAAAAGACTGTGCAGTATTAAGCCCTCAGGACCATGTTGTAATTACGGGGGGTGCCAATGACTTTTTCAGGAATGAAACAAAGAATTGTATAACAACTTTAAAAAGTACACTTTCTGCACTGACCCCTACAAATGTTGTGGTTCTCAATATACCAACTAGGCATGATTTAATAAAAGAATCAATATGAAATAAGGAAATAAGCAGAGCAAATATGGAAATAAACAAGGTATGTAGAAGATTCAGAAATGTAAAAGCACTAGACATAAGTAACATAAGCAGAGCCTGTCATACAAGGCATGAACAGCACCTAAACAAAATAGGCACAGAGCATATATCTCAAGAAATAAGTAAATTAATAGGCAAAACAAAAATAAATTACTTAAGTGTAATAGCTTTGAGCAACTCAAACCAGGGAAACTAATAGAGACTGGATCCATAAGGCTCCAGTCATTACAAAGTATAGAAACCAACTCAAGACAAAAGCTCAAAATAATACATCAAAATGCAGAATATCTCAGCAATAAAACTGAACTATTCACAGCATTCCTTCAAAGTACCACCCCAGATATATTGGCAATTTCTGAACATGGTTTAAAAGATGATGAAATTACTCAATGTATATTAGGATATACTGTAGCCTCACACTTCAGCAGAATAGATCAAAAAGGGGGTGGGATAGCTATTTATACTTCTAGGAACATACAATAACATAAAATTTTGAAATGTGTTAGAGAAAAAAGTATAGAAAAAACTTTTGAGGTTACTGGTATAGAACTAACATGTGAAAAGAAAAAATAACAATCATTGCATTATATAGATCACCAAGTGGTGGCATAAATGAATTTCTTATCCATCTAATAGATATTCTGGAGAAACTAATTCAGAAAGATCAATATATCATTTTAGTGGGAGACGTAAACATAAACATCCAAGAAGGTGGAAGTAGTCACAAAAAATTATTACATGTTACAAAAGCTTATAATCTGACTGTGACAATAAATACACCTACAGGAGTAACTGAAAGTATGGCTACAACTACAGACCAAATCATAACTAATATACTGGCTAAATACAATCATACTGATGTAAGAAACAGCCTACTTTCAGATCATTTTGCACAATGTATAACTATTAATATGTCTGCACCACAACAAACAAGATGTTACAAACAGGCCAGGAATATATCAGAAGCCAATATAATAGGTCTATGCTCTTCAATACAAACTGAAACGTGGATTGAAGTGTCTAGGGAAAATGATGTAAAAAAGTGACTCTTATTATAGCATTTTTAACTATGTTTCTAATATAACCTGTCCCAAAATAAGGAGAAATACCGTAAGCACGTCAAAAAGACCCTGCATAAAATTATGCTGTAATAGCAAGAACAAAACTAAAGGATTTGTACAACCTTTACATGCAAAGTAAGACTCAGGAACATAGAGATATCTACAAAGCATATAAAAATGAATATAATGTAATATTAAAAAATTAAAAAGCAAACTACATTCAGAATATTATAGCCAGATCAAATAACACTTCAAAAATATTGTGGAAATTTGTTAATAGAGAAAGAGGCTTATCAAAAAATACTCTCACTAGTAATATACGAGGGGGGACCCAAAAACAACCGGAATTTATTTTTGTTATTTTTTATTTTTGCATTTTTATTGAACTGTATATTAGTCCCCTTCAAAGGATTGTCCATGTGCATTAATGCACTTGTCCCAACGCTTTTGCCACTGCTCAAAACAGTGCAGGAATTCTTGAGGCTGGATACTGTTCAAAGCCTTTAGCGTGTTTTCTTTGACTTCATCCACATCATGGAATCGCTTTCCTTTCAGACTTCTCTTCATCCGTGGAAACAAAAAAAAG